GAGAGAGAGAGAGATGTAGATGATGGTGGTGTCGGTGATGATGTGAAATGCGTTCGATTTCTTGAATTTTCAGGCAGAGGTCAACTTCCTAGGGCAACTACATCACCCCAATCTTGTTAAGCTTATCGGTTACTGTAGCGAAGATGATCAGAGGTTGCTTGTCTATGAATTCATGACTCGAGGAAGCCTTGAAAACCATCTCTTCAGAAGTGAGTAATTGATTCTTAGTTTTCTTATATCTTCCACCCGGTTCTCCAGTTATGATGCTGTACCCATAATTTTGTTGACCTGCTATTGGACACTAGAAAAGAAATCTTTGCGTGCACGCCATGAACTTTTTTCACCTGTGTCTCTCTCTCTCTCGTGAAGAACTAAGTTGCCTGGTTTATGAAACGCGCAAAATCTTCCTCAAAGTGACAAAAATGCGTGATGTATTTCCACCCAAAGTACCATTTATCAAAGAAAAGCTCCAGGGTCATTAGTGTTGGGAATAAAAGGGTCAATTTTGTTTGCCTTTCGACCGTTCTTTACATGTGAACTTCCACATATTTACTATTATTGGATTTTTGTGTCCATATTTTTTTTCTTAGTTTTCATGTGGTAGACTACTAGTGGGACACATTAAAATAGGTGGACACTGAAATTTGAAAAATGTCTTAAAATGGAATACAAATAGTTACTTCATTCACTGATAAACTTCGGTGTTTCCAATTTCTGATTTTGCATATCTGGATATAATTGCGGTGTTGATGCATATCCAATTAATTTGATTATTTCTTTTGACCCCACAATCATCCAGTTTGTTGTGTTTCATTTTATGTTGATATTGCCATCTTCCAACAAAGTTCTCCTTTTTGTAACCTTGGAATGCAGATCCCTCTTTGAAAGACTTTCTTGATGTCAAATGGAATTCTTTGTGTTACTTCGAAATGTTCATAAAGTTGATGAAAAGGAAATTTCGTGGAAAATGGGATGACAGTCAAATGGTTTGGGTTAAACTTCAAGTTAAAGCTTCTCCAAATCATGGCTGTTGGGGCCTGGGCTGGAGTTAGGAATTGGAAATATGGATGATTGCGGAGTTTTTAGAGAGAGATTTTTGAGGGCTTACTGATTGCCTTGGTTAATAGTCCTGCCTTACACTTGCCTGTACATAGATAAGAGTGTTCTCATTAGCTTCAATTGTGGTGTGCATACCTAAAGCATAGAGAAATGGGATGTAGCATGTAGTCAGAAGAACTCGAACTGGCATCGGTAGGGTTTATATTAGTGATTTTTTTAATATCAGTTTTTCTTTGTTTTTGGGAGAAATGGAAGAGTTTAACAAGGTACCAGAAAAGCAATGGTGTCTAACAAATGTGCTCATTGAAATGAACAATATATGCTACAGTTGTATCTGTGGGGGTCCATTGTGTTTGTGGGAAGGCCAGCGACATGGGGGACTATTTGATTGTGGTAGCGTGTCTTGTTTTGGTTGTAATGGCTAGTTTGCATTTGTTGGGTGAGATATTCTTCTTTGCTTCATTTTAAAATGAAGGATTACCAAGGAAAAACTTGGGGCTCATCATTTATTGTCCATCAATGTCATATTCTGTGTGATGCTCTTACAATTACTTCATTTGTTTAGACCATCAGCTGTAAATGGCCCATGGAGATTTTAATGTGCATTATGAGTACAAAAGCTGACATCTTGTCCAATTCTTCCAAACATTGCATGGAATGTAACAAAAGTTGATTTGATAAGAAGGCGTGTTACCCCTGTTCTATTGTTGCCATTTCATCCATTGTAGAAGGCAATATGTAGTTTACTGCAACAGAACTCATTATTCACTCGAGTAATTTATCTTATTCAGAGCTTAGCATAGATAACCAATAAGTGTTGTGCCTACATAATTGTTAGACCCAAGTATTCCTTTAGCTTCACAATTTATTTGTTAGATATTTATAATTACATGGAGAAGTTATATAACGGTTCTTTTCTGATGTCCTCAACTGAACATTGTAAGTATCTGTGTTTTTTAGTGGTGTTTGGTTTCTGACCTTTATGATGGTTAGTGCATGTAATTTTTATTCTTTTACACGACTTATAGGTTCTGAAAAATGTGTGCTACATGGATGATTATTTCATCTGATGACACATCTATATTTTCCTGTGTGTCTGGTAGGAGCTCTCCCTCTTCCGTGGTCTGACAGGTTAAAGGTTGCTCTTGGAGCAGCTAGAGGTTTGGCTTTTCTTCATGGAAATGCTGAGCCGGTCATCTATCGAGATTTTAAGACATCAAACATCCTGCTAGACTCGGTTGGTAACACAACCTCACGTAATTTGCAATTTTGTGTGTGAACCTGATCATGCAAGTGGAGAGGTGGAATGTATGTGTAAACATCTACAAGTGTATGAGTGTGCATGCAAGTATGCAAATGCATGCTCTTGAGGTTGAATGTGCATGTGCGTGCTTGTGTCTATCTATAACAAACAACAAACATATGTAATTTTTGTTTTTGTATGTGTATGCATGTCTGTATTTATTTCATTTATGTATGTGGCATATGTGTGCATATTTTAATTTCTGTCAATGTATATCCTATGCAGGAATACAATGCGAAACTGTCAGACTTTGGTTTGGCAAAAGCAGGACCCCAAGGCGACAACACTCATGTTTCTACTAGGGTTGTTGGAACCTATGGTTATGCAGCACCAGAGTATGTGATGACTGGTAGGCAGTTTCTCTACGATGGGCCTTCTATAGGTAGCAAGATTATTGTCTAGGAACCTAATGTTAATACTTGAGATCATATGTATTATGTTCACTTGTAATTATCATAATCTTGGCACTAGGATTCAGGGAGTGTCTTTTTCATATAGTGTTCTGAATCATCTTTCCAGATTTCCTATATCATTGGAATTACAACCAAGCCTGTCAGAACTCATTTGAAAATTTAAATCTTGGCAACTATGAAAGTTATGCGCATTATAATGACCATCTTCTACTAAATTATTGTGATTGTTTTTTGGAGGTTCATGTGCTTTACCAAGGGAATGAAAAATATTTGTCTGGAATTGTCAAACCCAGTCTAAAGATGAATTTTCACTATGACGGATACTTTTATGGAAATATTTTTCTTTTATGAATAAGATATTCTTTTAACCAATGTTTTCCTTTTTATCCTAGTGCCAAAATTATCATGATTACATGTGAACATGATGTATGATGCTTCAGCTGTACAATACGGCAAGTCAAGTTTCAGTGCCAACTGATGACAAATTGGGTTCAATTCATTAGCTCATGATTACAATGGATAGCGAGAATATATCTGTGTTTGATACTCTGACATGTGTTGCAATTCACTTTGCAGGCTCATCTTGATTTGTATTGTAGTCTTTAATTTATATTATGAGATGCTACCACTCATATGCTACATTTATCTGGAATGTCTATAAAGTTTGTTTGAGCATATTTTATAAAATCCTCATGGTCACTGAAATAATCATTGTAATTTTGTGATTGATGCAGAATTGTATCTTAAAATGCTTATAGCTGATCAGGTTAGGAGTGGCTTCTTGTCTTCTGTTATGAATATATATCTGTTATGGTTTTTTATTCAGTTTTTTTCTAAGCCTTTCAATGAGTCTCAGTGGATGTCAGTGTCTAGCACAATAGACTAAAAATTACCGATGTGGTAAGGCCTTCTTGAGCTTACAAATAAAAGATGAACTTTTTAATTGATAATCAGGGTGTTGCTTCATATATATATTAACTATCACAAATATACTTTAATTTTCGCCTATTTAAAAAAAACCTTTAACTTTCATAAACCTTGGCCACACCTTTTTTCTTCAATTTTGACTTTTTTTTATCAAAATAACCTTCATGATAGTCGTATTACCATGATGCACAATTACGGTACTTAAAGTACCGTAAAAACTAAAATGTTATACGGCATTTTAAGTACCGTAAAAACTAACCCATGTTTTATGATACTTTAAGTACCGTAAAAACTAACCCATGTAATACGGCATTTTAAGTACTGTAAAAATTAACTCAAATTATATGGCACTAGAAATGCCGTAAAGCCTTTTCTACTGTTTATATTTATCTCTTTCATTCTGTTTATATTTTTCTCTTTCATCTCTCTCATTCTTTTTATGTTTATCTCTTCTTTCTCTCTTTAATCTTTCTCTCTTAATTTTTTTTAATATTTATCTCTTCTTTCTCTCTCTAATTCTTTTTAATATTTATCTCTTCTTTCTCTCTCTAATTCTTTTTTTGATCTCTTCTCTCTCTCTCTAACTCTCTTTCTCTCTCCAAGGAGATTTGTATAACAACTTGTGCGTATCTTACCATCCCCTATAAAAACTCCCTTCAACTCCATCCCCTAGAAAAATTAGACGGAGTCAGATTTGTATCGTGTTGGAATCGTGTTTGTAGAGTTGATGTAGTAAGTAGCACGAGAAAGAGAGTTAGTGAGAGAAAAGATTTAGAGAGAGAAAGAAGAGATAAATATTAAAAAGAATTAGAGAGAGAAAGAATAGATAAATATTAAAAAGAATTAGAGAGAGACAGAAGAGATAAACATAAAAAAAAAATTTAGAGAGATGAAATAGATAAATATGAACATGAGAAAAGGGTTTACGGCATTTTGAGTGTCGTATAATATGGGTTAGTTTTTACAGTACTTAAAATGCCGTATAACATGGGTTAGTTTTTACGGTACTTAAAATGCTGTATAACATGGATTAGTTTTTACGGTAATTAAAGTACCGTAATTGCCTTCACGGTAATACGACTACTGTGAAGGTTATTTTGGTAAAAAAACACTCAAAATTGAAGAAAACAAGTGTGGGCGAGGTTTATAAAAGTTGAGGATTTTTTTCTAAATAGACAAAAATTAAAGTATATTTGTGATAATTTCCATATATTTTTCTACAGAGTTCTTTGAACGAACACGTTTCCATAGCCATCTGTAAAACAGCTCACCACTGAATACCAACTACAATGAGAAGGGTTCTCACTGTTATCATTTTGGCTATTGGAGTTAACTTCTCCATAAAATAAGTCTCATATTCTTGATTATGCCCTACTGGTCTGGGGTTCCATTGGACCTCAACTTCTTATATACCTACTTGTATGGTGCCTTATAGCATGCTTACCTGCGGTATTACGTGGACACCGATACTCATTTTGGTGTCTAGACGTACTAAGGGTTTCTAATTTGAAAAACCTGATGTGGCAAGATATTTCCATATAATAATATGCTAGAAGTAGAACTTAGGTTTTTTTAATAAAATTGAGATATTTTTCAAGCCAATGTTTTACAACTCAGGGAAGTCAACTTGGACTCGCCCAAGTAACTTGAGTTGGGCAGGTTGCCTTGCTCAAGTCCCCTTGTACTTGAGGGTACATAATCTTTGATGAATAATAGAAGGGTGCAATTTGTATAGAGCCTAGGCTTTAAACAATCAAATTAGAGCCTACCTTCAAGTAGTGT